TATATATAAATAATAAAAACTATCCCTTTGTCTATCACGGGGTCGGTATGAGGAATAAACTGTGGCGAAGGGAACTCAACTCAGCATCAGGGGAACCGCCTTGCGGTGCGAATATGGTCAACTTTGCCCGCTGGAGAGCGGGGGGGGGCATATTTTCCCTTTTAAACTTCAGTATTGTTTGGATGGGTTTTTTGGGACTGGTGGGGATGAAGGACAGCTCAAAAAGAGAGCCTTGAAAAGTGGTGAATTTTGCAGTTTCCTTCCGTCAAGCTTCTATCCCTCACCAAAAATATCGGCTCACCCGGAAGGGAACATGTTGGCAAATCCATTTAAATTGTTTGGAACAATGGACATAGCACGCTGAAATTAGCTTCTGCCTTGTTAGAACAGGCCAAATGCTGTGTTTATAGCTTTCCACAACATAGAGAAAGCCACGTTCTAATATGCTTGCCCTTCGGGTGTTAAGGAGCGTTTAAAGGGGGAGAAAGTTGGCAACCCAAATTTTGCATTGCAAATGAGGTTTCCTTACCGGGAAATGAAACGGAGCTGTTACCGTTTCTGGTTTGAAACGGTGACTAGTGGCTTCATTCAGGGCCAGCTAAAATCGTCTTAGCCTTTTCTGCAGCAACCACACCCTCTTGTCTCACATCCAGCATCTTGTGATCTCTTGACCAGAGTTCCTTAGCGCTATCAAACGGGGAAAGAATGCGTGCCATTTCGGAGTACTTGAACAGCAGCAAAAAGAGGAAAACAGAGGAGAAAGAATATGGCACCGACTACGTAAGTCCTTAATTCTGGGTGTCTTAAAACAAGGGGCTCTTTTAAACAGTCTGATTGGCACGTTTTCATGTCCTTTAAGAAGCAAGGCTGAGAAATACACCGATACATTTTCTCATCTATGTATCTATCTAAAAATGACATGCCCTGCTGTACCTGGAAAGACTCTTGAGAGCAGCTCACATCTCAGAATAAAAAGATAAGGGACTCCTTCCCAATTTGGAATAGAAAAGTGTATGGCACAAAAGGAAAGTGAGCGGGGAGGGAAGAGGAAAAGAAAAATCTAAAGGCACAAATATGGCCAGAGAGTCTTCCGCTGCTGGGTGGCTACTGGGTGACTGTTGGGAAGAACTGAGGTGTGTCGGAGGAGGCTTATTAAAAGGGAAGAAGGGAATGGGCGAGGCTGCACTTCCACCTTCTGTGTTTTGATATATTTTCAGGGCAGCGATGGGGACAAGAGCGAGGATAACCTTGTGGTCGATGAGGTAAGTCTCCATGTTTTTTGCACCTTGTAAGCAGACGCAGGAGTGAGAGAGGGCTTGGTTTCGGGAAGGCTCAAACTGCTGCCTAGCTCCCTTGGCTGAAGAGCCCAGGGAATGTGAGTTCGAATCCCCACCGATGAGAAAGGCTAACTGATTTTTTCAGGACCGAGAGTGACCGCTGACCTTACATGCCCTGCCATGTGGGCAGCCTGTGTGGTTAATTTTTCCTCCACCTTTAAATGAAGCCGCATCCCCTTAACGCAAAAGTAACTGGAAATGTTACAGCTGCAAAATGTACTGGAGTTACTGTCGTCCAGTTGCCACCATGTGACTTCCTTGCACCTCCGCCTGGTGAATTCAGAACAATTGGAGTCGTCACCCTCTGGAGGAACGTAATCAAGACTTGGGGGAGAAATTGTTTGAAAATGCAGGAATGCCGGGAAAAATGGGAGACAGCAGGAAAAGAGGGAGACCTAATGCGAGATGCATTGACACAATAAAAGAAGCCACGACCTTTACAAGAGCTGAGCTAATGATATTTTGGAGGCCACACAGTCACCGGTTTGAAAAGGGGGGCTTGAGATGTTAATATTGATCAAAAGGCTGTTTTCGAAGTCCAGTGCCTTTCGTTTTGGCTAGAAAGAAATGAATTGCCAGCCACGCCGTATTTCCGACCCGTTGTTTTTCACAGGCTGCTTTGCTGATCGGTGCCTCCGGGTCTCTTGATTCTCCCCTTTCCAGGACCCCGCTTCACCCCATAGCATCCACTCCTTCTCATCACGGGAGAATGGGGTGGACAAAGCCCCCCTCCCGAGGAAAGAGACGGCCCCGCTCAGCCCCACGTCCATGGCATCCTCCAGTAGCGCCTCCCCTCCCCGGACTACAAAGGAAATGGCCACGGTAGGGAACAGCGATGTGCATAACTGGGTCGAATGTGGGGTGGCCTTGATCCACTTGCGCCTCCCAACTAGAGTAAACCTGCTGAACGGTGAATCAAACCATGGGTAAGCTCCATGGATTAATGGGTCTACTCTAGTTAGAAGGCACAGTTGGACACGGGATACCATTTTTTGGGGAGGTGGAGAGAGATGATTCTCAGTTTCTCCAAACTTTGAAACTTTCCCACAGTGTGTGGCAAACATGCCTGGGGAAAAGTTGATTAACAATGAAATCGTGGCCCTAATTTGGTTTCTAAAAATGGCTAACGGATACCCCGTCCATGCTTCTGATCGTTAAAGACCAGCAGAGGTGAGATCTGTCGGGCTCCCCTTTGATCTGTGTGGATGATGAAAGGATAGTGGGCCACCCATGGTGGAAGGATTCCACAGTTCATTGGTGGTGGAAGCGGCCAATGAAAAGCCTCCGTCCCCTCCCTTTGGTTGAGCTGAGCCCGTGGCTGGCAGCCACGGAATGCTCGCTGCCGGTCTCCCTCTGCCGCTGGGTTTCGCCGCCAAACCGTGTCCACAATGACATAACGGACTGGAGGCTTCCGTTATGGTCCCTGCGTCGGGCAGTTGAGGAAGAGGAAAGGCAGGGAGGGGCTTGACGGCTTAGCACGCCAGGGTGGGAAAGAGGAAACCCTCAAATGGCTCTCTTGGGGGAGTGTGGCTTTTCTGGCTTCTTTCCCCCTCCTTCCAGTTCTCCCACCGATGAGCAAAGCTATGGCCTCAAAACGAAGGGGAAGGGAGGTCTGGAGGAAGAACTAGCATCCAGACGTGCCAGAGCCTTTTGGTTTTAGAAGGCTGTGGAGGAAGGAAGGAAGGAAGGAAGCGTTCCCACCTTTGAAGGGGTCAAAAGAGGGCAGGCAAAGTCTTGGCTCAGCGTCTTATCTCGGGACTCAACCCTGGGGTACGGCTTAATTTGCTCCTTGGTGTTCACGCAACCTGTTCTTACGATCTGAGATCACCTCCAACACTCAAAACAGGGGTTTTCCCCCTCATTTCCCAACCGAGGGTGGCCCAGTGACATTGAAGCGAAACGGTCGGTTTTATTTTAAGCGACATAAATGTTTTCGTTGGCAAGCTCGTCTTTTTTTTTCACCTTTAAAAATGGAAGGGATTTTTTAAAATGAATTTAGGACGAATTGAACGGGCTCGTTCATCGTGCGAAATTATTTTGCACCATGTTTTCGCGTGGAATCTTAAATGACAAATTGAATGCTCCGATGGGGAAGGCTGAAGGCAGGTTGGACAACGATAAAATTCAACTGGCGAGATAGGAGGGCTTCTCAAAACTTAAAAATGGAATATTTTTAACCCGAAAGGTTTGGGGTCTGCTGCGTTATGTACAGTTTCTCTGCTCAGCGTGCGTACCGTACAAGTAAAAGCAGAGGCGTAACAAAGTGATCTTGAGCTTAGAAGAAGTGGGTGGCTGTTGACTGTGGTATCAGCCGCTCTGGGTTTTAATCTGAACTTTACCATAGCTCTTCAAGATTTGTACCTATTAAGGGGATAGAGTTTAGTGCCTTGAACGGCTCTGGTAAAATTCACACTAAAACCTGGAGCAGATTTCCCCTCCCCCCCCCAGCGAACTCCCGGTCACCCTCCTTCCATGCTTCTAACGAATAAAGAAACAGCTGTATAACAGCAGTAATTCCTTCCAGGTGGAGAAAGCGGCCACCCCTGGTTTGAAGTCGAGCACCCCAACGTCACAAGGCGAAGGGCCGGCACCAGGTTCCTCCAGCACTAGCAGCAACACACCCCAGTTTCGCCCCGGAGTCGCAAAGCAAACGGTGGAGTCACTTGGTGAGAGGCCGCTGAAGGTGGAACAGGAGGATCGGGCCCCTGGGGAGGAGGGGGAGCATGGAGGGCGAAGGTGTGGTATGGGAGAGATACGGTCCTTGTTTCATGAATCGAAGCACAACAGACGACGGGATGAGGAGGAGCACTGAGGGGTTAGGTCAGCAAGCAAAGTCTCTGGATGGGTTTCCACCCGTGACACCACAACTTTGGAAAACTTTTTCCCCTCCGGTGCAAATCTCTCGGCAACTAAAACAAGGGTGGGCCACATCCCGAGATTGCAGGCCTGCCGGTTCCCATCTCCGGAGGGGCCCCCCCATGCACCCCACCCATCCTGAAGTGCTGTGAGAGAAGTATGCAATTTTACTTAATAATGTGCAATTAAAATATAATCAGGGGTATAATCTACCCGCAGGTTGGCCTTACTACCTGCAGGGTGGAGAACGAGGCTATGCTTAAGCAGAGAGTCTCATATACCTTGGGGGGAAAATGTTGAGCGTATTATTTTGAAGATTCAGGGCTCAGCCCTATAGGCAGAATTTTCCATGGGTCTTCCTTCATGTACTCACAGCCGGGGCACTGAAGCCATCTGGCTAAGAATTCTGCAAACTATCATCTACAAAGTGTTGTCGTCCCTCCCCCCCCCCCCCGGCATCCTTTTCTAACCCTCCTGCTCGCCTAGTTGCATAGGGCTGCTTGCCCCAGGGCGGCTAGGCCAGGCGTGAGCATGCCAAACCTTCTTCTCCCAGCCTTGAGCCTGCGCAACCCACTGACCGTCCAGAGCTCCTACCAGGCGGCGTTCAACGTGGCCCACGCCTCCGTCAATGGCGACCTGGCTGGCGCAGGGGCCTACGCGGGACTGCACCTCATGAGCCCGCAGCTCAACGGGGCCGCCGTGGTTGGGGCCACCGCTTACGGCCGGTCTCCGCTGGTGAGTGTCTCCGGGGAGCTGGCCTGCCGAAGGAGAGGGGAAGGAGGAAAAGCGTTCCGATTTCTTCTTGGCTCCCTGATTGTTACCTAGAAGCCCCCCCACCCACTCCTGGGGGGTCGCTGGGAAGGGAGAACAGCCCTGGCCCTCCGGGGTTGCCGTCTCAAAGACCCGACATGCAAGGAAAGAAGAGAAGGAAGGAGGAAAAAAATAACGCAGCCACGCTCTTTGAGTGGCAGAGTTCCGCACTGAGCTTGCAGGTCCCAAGTTACACACCATGTAGTTAAAGTAACTAGTTACTTATGAGGATGAGAGTGATTGATTGATGCAGTTACAGTAGTACCTCGGTTTTTTCAAAACGGATCCGTTCCATGCAGTGTGACGTGTGGAAATTTCGCAAACCGAAACACGCCTTGCGTGATGAAAGGGGCAGCGCACTAGGCGCAATGCGCCCCTGGGAAACTACCTTTCGTCGTGCGAAAAAAAGAAAAGAAAACAACATAACCCGGGGCTTTATTGCTTAGGGATTTCAGTTCATAAACCAAAAATTATGTAAACTGAGGCGTTTACAAACCGAGGTACTACTGTATGTATTTTTGTTTGTTTGTTTATTTATGCATTTATTCGTCTGTATTTAGTTTTTTGTTTGTTTATTTATGCATTTATTCGTCTATATATTTACGTAAATTATTTTTAACATAATCCTTAAAAGGACCCTAGGTGTGGCTTACATGAGTAGAAAGCAATGCTTAGAAGCTTAGAAACAGGAAGAAATTAGAAATACTAAGTTATTTATTTGTCTGGTTAAATATCATGTTCAAAGAGAAATAAAATCAATACTAAAACACACATTTAAAACAGACTGCAACAATCCCAACTGGAAAAGTAATAGAAAAAGCAGGAGTTGAGTTACTTTCAGGTAATGAGTAACATGTTCCAGTTACTTTCCAAAGTTACTTTTAAAAACTTTTTTGAAAGAGGGTGTTTTGACGGGGACTTTTCTAAATCAAATCGCAAAAAGAAAAAGTAACAAGCGATGCAATACTCCATGTAATGAATTACTCTTTTTAGAGTTGCAGTTCATAACAGCCACAACTTCTGAACATTACCTTTTGGGATAAGAAATCGGAGAATTTACCACTCAGTCTTGGGGAGTTGGGAATTTACTGTTCAAAAAGGCAATATTTCCCATATCTGCTCACGACAGTGTCACCATTTCCAGAGGGGACCTTTGGTTTATGCTGTGGGTCACAGCAACGCCAACTCTTGGCAGTTGTTTTGGGGAAACGAATGTCCAACTTTTCAGGGGGGGAAAAATTAGGAACAGTCCCATCAAGTCAATTCTGATGGATGGTGACCTTTCCAGGGTTTTTCAGATGGAGACGGTTTGGAGGGAGGCCTGAAGATCCTAAACAGGGAATCCGGCCATCCTGGTTTTAGTGGTTTTTATATTTTATGATTTGTGTGTGTGTGTGTATTGTTTTTGTGTTGTGAATCACCCAGAGTGGCCATTGGCCAGATGGGCGGTATATAGATGAATGAATGAATAAATGAATGAATAAGTTAGTTAGTTAGTTATTTCCCTTCCCTTCTTCTGGGGGGGGGATCCCTGGGACAGTGCAGCTTGCCCAAGGCCACCCAGGCTAGCTCTTCTCCTGTGAGGCACAGGGAAGGATTCAAACTCATGGTCTCTAGTTCCTCAGCCAGAGACCTCAATCCCTGAGCTCTCCAGCTGTTCTAGCAAGTTACATTTCCACCCTGTCTCGCCTTCATGTCAGTCCTCTTCCCTGCTTTCTTCCCGCAACAACCCAGCGAGGTAGAGCAAGATAAAGCAATAAATGGATTGCCCAAGCATTGTGACGTTTCCCAGCTCAGTGGGGATTTGAATCCGGTCCCCTCCAGTCCTGGGCGAAGGCTCTGAAGCACGACACCACACGGCCTCCCTTTCTTTTACACCTTTTGCTTCACCTAGGTTGCCTACGATCCTCACTCCCATTTGCGAGTCCCGGGCCTCTCGACAGGAATGCCGACGCGGGTGTCGTCAGCGAAGCCGTGAGTGACCACCAGGGACCTACCATTTACACGGTGGGGTTCGGGGAGGGTGGAAGAAAGACTGCCTCATTGGGGTGGCTCTTCTTTCTGGGCCCATCCCCCCCCCCAAAAAAACAGGTGGGATCCCCTGCGAGGGATGGGCACAGATCCCTGGCCAGAGTCATCCACCCTTCTGTTCTGGGAGGAAAAGAGGCCCCGCCCACACTGAGGTTCATAGGCCACGCCCATTGCAGAGCCTTCTCGGTGGTGTCTCCCGTCATCGTAAGGAAGCCATGCTGGTTTCCTCCCTGTCCAAATCCAACGTATCGGTAGATTTCATTCCTCTTTTGACCGTGGTCGTTCCTTCTGTCCTTCCTGGTCTCCACCCCCAGGGCGTACTCCTTCCACGTGGGCGCCGACGGGCAGATGCAGCCGGTTCCCTTCCCGCCCGACGCCCTCATCGGCACCGGCATCCCCCGGCACGCCCGCCAGCTCCACACCCTGAATCACGGCGAGGTGGTCTGCGCCGTCACCATCAGCAACTCCACCCAGCACGTCTACACGGGCGGAAAGGGATGCGTGAAGGTGTGGGACGTGGCGCAGCCGGGCCCCAAAACCCCGGTGGCTCAGCTAGATTGCTTGGTAAGTGGACGGGGGTGTGTGTGTGCCGTGTTTCAGAGGTGAGCTGTGATCCGGTGGCTGTATCTCCTGGCGCGTTCCAGGTTGTTCTCCAGCCACTTAAGAGTCTGGAGGATCTCAGCGTTGCGGTCTCGTGCGGCCGACTACCAAGGGAGAAATATTCAGTGTCTGCACGGAACTTTTTTATCCTCTTTCCCCGCTCTCTCTTCCTGCCCCAGAACCGAGAGAACTACATCCGGTCCTGTAAGCTCCTCCCGGACGGACGGAGCCTTATCGTTGGCGGGGAAGCCAGCACCCTCTCCATCTGGGACCTGGCCACCCCAACGCCGAGGATCAAGGCGGAGCTGACCTCCTCGGCCCCCGCCTGCTACGCCTTGGCCATCAGCCCGGACGCCAAGGTCTGCTTCTCCTGCTGCAGCGACGGCAACATCGTGGTGTGGGACCTCCAGAACCAGACGCTGGTGAGGTAAAGAGGTCCCGCCGCCTTCTCTTGGCTGGTCCACCATATCTCGTGGTCACCGTACGCTGGCTTTTATATCTGCCTCGTCCCCGGCAGGCTAGCTACCTAGTTTGGGGAAAACGTGCTTTGCAGAATTGCAAGGATGAGACGAAAGCTGGATTTGCGGTTGACGTCGGTTCTGCCGAGGCATTTCTTTATTTTGCATTTTGCGGGTGCGAAGGTTCCACGGAGAGTTTAGCGTGTCAGGAAACTGGGGGCTTGATAGTCCAGCAGACACTGCTTGCCTTATTGACATCCATGAGGACTAGGAACTTGGAAGTTTTGGAGAGGCAAATTCTCACCGGCACAGTTGGCTTTTCCCGAGTTCCTGCAGAATTGTGGGGTACCGAGACTCCGTTTGTGGACAAACACTCTCCTGCCACCTCAGGTTTACCTTCCCTTTGCAGGCAGTTCCAGGGGCACACCGATGGCGCCAGCTGCATCGACATATCCAACGACGGCACCAAACTCTGGACGGGGGGCTTGGACAACACCGTGCGGAGCTGGGACCTTCGGGAAGGCCGGCAGCTTCAGCAGCATGACTTCAGCTCCCAGGCAGGAAAGGGTGGAAGGAGGAGGCTGGGGAGTGGTGGATGGGGCCCCGTGAACTCCCTTTGGTGGCCACCACCGGTCTTCAGTGCAGTGATGTCATAGCTGATGTGGAAAACAAGAAAGAAACACACAAGGAAACCATATTTTCTTGCAGAGTTTTGAAGTTTGGGTTAAATCCCTCTAGCTCCACACTAGAAATGCAGAGATTCACAGAGCAGAATCAGCTTCAAGTTCCCCCTTCTTCATCAGCTGGCACTTACAGTCTCAGTAACTCAGTCTGAGACATCAATAATAGAAAGAATAAAAGGTCTTTATTTGGTTAAAATATTTTTACCTCGCCTTTCTCCTTGAAAAGGAGCCAAGGCGGCTTAACAACAATCAAAAGGCCCTATTTAAAGTTGAAAATAATGAGGATACAACGGTGGGTAATATCATTAAAAGACAATGTTGAGAACTATGAACCGTGAATAAAGAGGCATCTCACATAATTTACAGGCAGTATACAATTATTTTTAAAAAAAATCCCAGTCTGAGAAATGAAAAACACATGGAAAATACAAGGAGCACGGAAAATTCAGCCAAAGCAGTAATACATAATAATCTATCTAAGAATCACACACAGGTAGCTGGTCTACTGAGGGAGGGTCTACTTACTATTGATCAAATCGAACCCCAAACGGACAACCACGACTGCTTCCAGCAAAAGACTTAAACTGACTCGAGGGAGGGAAAAGGACACAGAGCAGAGAGGGGGTTTCTTCTCTTTGAGTTCAGAGGCAGGGAAAGAATGATAGGTTGAGGAAAGTCCTTCCCGGCCAAACCTACCATAAAGGCCGCATGCAAAGGGGCAGCAACTCCGACATATTTCCCTCTTCCCGGCAGAGTGTTTAATCTTGGTAATAAAGAGGCTCGTAAGGTTTGGGGGAAACTAAGAAAGAGGTTCAGTTGAAG